AATTGTATAAAAGCAAGTAACGGTTATAATAATAATCAAAAGAAACTATTTCTAGGCAGAAAATATACGAAGTTTACAAAATGACACAGGAGGTATTGGAGGTCAACCGGTGGAACTTCTGGCATGCTCACTTCAAAAAAAAACTAATATCACATTGAATTAGTTCTTTAAAAATACCTTTTTTAAATCAATTTTGGCTCCAAAAATCAATTATAAAAAACTAGTATATTTAAGCTAAGTTTGTGAACAGGGGTTTTGATATCAGAAACTTGTTTTTATATTACTTTTGAGTTAATTTTTTCTTGAGATCCTCGCAATTATAATTCGAATTTAATTTTTTGTACTAAAAGTTTTGTTGGCTTTCGTTTTAGGTTTGCTGAATTTGTTTTCTGGTGTTACTATTTCGAGATACATAATTGTAACGACGAGACTCGTCCGAGAAACTAATGACAAGAATTTGTTTTTTCTAAGTTACTTCAACAGAACTCTAACTGGTGAAAACTTTTTCCGATATAAATTATCAAGGCCACAATGGCCACAAAGAAAAACGCCTTGAGACTTTGTTCTCCGTTTTGAAGAAGGCTGAGACTAATTTTCACCCTCCATAAGAAAATATAAGCCGAAAAGACAAGAAATCACAGCTGATTTACCGATATATATTTTTTCAAATATCGTTGATCCCCAAAAGTTCCAATGAGATCAAGGTTGATTTTGTTTTACAATTCAGAAGCGAGTAGTGTGTGAAGTGAAGGGAAGTATGGACCCAGAGTACCAACTGACCTCCCGGATGACAATTGAGGCGGGCATATTGCTCTCCAAATTCCACGAGTCGCTCCCCTTGCACGGAAAAGACGCCTATGGATTCCACACTCCCGCAACTGCCCTCGGATTTCCATTCAGAGAACGACTTAAACAGTACGCTGGGGTGACTTTTAATATCGAGGAGACGTCACTTCCTTCGTGAAATAGACAAAAAAAAACAAACGACAAAACTTTTTATAGTAGTTTAAACCACGATCAAAACAGGCTCAACAATCACGGCCATGATTGTCGTTGAATCTACCAGATAATTACAAATTAGAAGGAAAAGTATTCCCAAGTTAAAAAAAAATTGCCTACAAATAGTTTTGTCCGAAGTTATTCTTTATCAGAAATTATTAAGAACGATGCAAAAAAACCGAGAACAACATCAACCATTTCTAAAATAAACAAGTGCCGCCGTTTGCTGTGAAAGTAGCAGCAGCGCAGAAAACTCCAACCAAATTCTTTTAAAAAACTATATAAAAAACTATATAAAAAACAATATATATTCTTTTTTGAACTCTGGAGGTTTTCAATGCTTTGTGTGATTAAGGAAAGAGGAAAGCTTAGAACGTAAGTTCGTAAGTTAATCAAAATCGACTACAGTCTTCGAAATTTGATTCACAAAACAAAAATTAACAAAAAAAAAACAATTTTTGTGAAATTTTTTTTATTAACAGAACTCTTAAAAATTGATCGCGAGGGGAACCGTTTTATTATTATTTTAAACATGGCTTCTTAGATGGCTAGGACTAAAAACAGGAAAACAAGCGTCTCAGACTTATAAGTCTGTCGGGTTCAAACTTTTCCCTTTTTTGTGCGAGGGGATGAGTAAACTCAAAATTTTGATAGGGCAATAATTCTAGTAAAAATGAAAGTCTATGGAGGCAATCAATCAGTCAATTATAGAAAAATTAAAGAAAGCTGCTTAAATTAAATTTGCCTTATGGTAGAGGAACTAGGTCGGTCGGAGGGACCGACTCCTTTATGTTTATCCTATACGCATCTCTACACATAGCCAAAAGCCAGCTGTAAATGCGTCAAAAAATGTTTCTAAGCCAAAACAAAATCCCTTAAATTGAAAAAAAATTGACTTTCATTGTTCAACACTTTTGCATTTCGTAAACTTGTATTCCGCTAGAAAACCTTAAACTTAAAATTCACGTTCGAAACTAAATTCATTTATTTCTTGAAGCAACATGGAGTTTCCGTATTGCAGAGAGTAATTCACCTTCCACTAAGTAAATTCATGCGAAGTGAATTTGTAAAAACAAATTAAGAGTAAAAAGAAAAAAGACAAATCTGCAGGTCAAAAGTTGAAACACAGAAAGTTGAAACAATTGGAAACCAAACAAAAACGTTTGAAATTTTTGAAATTTTTTTCAAATTTCCATTTTTGTATAAAAAGTACTTCACGTTAAGGTTTTTTGAATTTCGAAAACTATTCATTATTGGCATTTTTTTCACACAATTCACCCGGTTTAAGAAATCTGGAACAATCTGGAACGTTTTTCTGTTCCGCTGGTAAATCTAAGAAAAATTAAATCCACTTTCGGAAACAGAAATAGATTGCGCTTTGTAATTAGAAAGCGCAATTTACCTACCACAGTTATTTTACATACTGCGGAAATAGACAATCACGGTTGGAAATATTGATTCTCAACAAATAATTTTTTTTCTTTTTAGAAATTAAATCAAAAGAACTGAAAATTTAGTCAGTCCGTTTGCTCAGTTCAACGTTTTTTGTTTGTAAAGAGCAAATAAAAACAATATGAACAACCTTTCAAGGGCCTATGAAAATCCTCTGAACTAAAAATTTTTCAAGGCTTGTCGGATAACCTTGGTTAGTAGTTAAGGATAATACTATGTTAAATTGAACAAACCAGCTGAACTCTACTGAATTTTTAAGGTATTGGGTTTTAATGTTTCCAATTATCTGCGATCAAAAAATTCAACTCTTTATTCACAGCTGCAGGAAAAAACCGAGAAAGTGTACACTTGAAAATTTGAAAAAACTATAAATCTCCATCCAAGCAGAGCCGAGCAAATTTTCGATATCTCTTGCTAATCATAAGCATACTGATATAAGAGACTCTGCGGTTGGCGCTCTGGCAAACTATTTTTAGAAAATTCTTTTAAAAAATCATTCTCTGATTAATACACTTGTTTGAGGCGCTCTAAAAAGCTTACTTTTTTGAGACTGGCTTCAACTGCTTTTCATTTTGACTCAACAAGAATTGTTTTTTTTTAAACTAATACGTTTTTTTTAGCTGAAGCATGGTGATAGCAATTAATAGCACGATCTCGATTGATGGCAGAGGTTGGCCTATAAATTTTTTGAATTCTGCTTAACTCATTTTTAGCAACCCAATAACAAAACAAATTTTAATTTATCAAGAAACAAAAAAAGCATAGCCAACAGACGTAATGAGCGCCAAGAAACTGAAAACTTCAACTTTTCAACTTCCAAGTAAAGAATAGATGGAATCAAATCTCTTTGAATTTGTATAACAATTTATAATGGTAGTTTTTTAAATAAAAGTAACAAAATTTGAGAAAACTGGATCAGCAGGCAAAACTTCTTTTCCGGTGGGAAATCTGATCATTAATTTCCATTTTGATGAATCTGGGATTGTTCAACTTCGAAAAAAAAGCCAGCTATCATAGAAATCAAGTTCTTTTATTTCTACGGGTAAATTCTGTCTTTTATGCAATTTCTACGTGATATGTCTTTTACCAGACCAAATTTTTATCAGAGTGACTTTTTACCAGACCACAATACAAAAAAAAAACAATTAAGATGAGTGAAAAGTGGTGGATACTAGAAAAGGAAGTGTTAATTTTAATTAACTTTCGCTGAAAAACCGTTAATAATAATTAAAATTGTCTTTAGCCAGAGTAAATTGCGTCGCTGTATCTGTAAATCAAATTTGCTGATCGAGTCTGGTGAAAAAAAAACCATCTTTCAAATTTTCTGGTTAAAGTTTCACAGATAAAAGGCCGGTGCCCGTAAGTTCCGCATTGCATACATTGTTGTTAACGTTAGGGAATTGACACATTTACTTTTGTTGTTCGATTTGTGGATTTTACTTTTCTTTTAAAAATGGGAATGCACTGAATTTTAAAAGTAATCACAAATCAAACTGCGAAAACTCAAAATTGAGCGTGAACAAATTTCCAGAATTTTTCCTTTAAACAAAACAAACTTAAACTAAAAAGTACCCATTAAATTCATTACTCTTGATAAAATAACCCAATTTATTTAAAACTGGATGAATAGATCGTTTTTTCACGCTGTTTATTCTGACAAAATCCACTTCGGAACATGGAAGTTGACCATGTTTTTTGTTACCTTCACACTTTTGCTATTCGATAGTGGAGTTTGCTATCTTTTAACAAAATGAATTGAACTTCAAAAGAAATCAAAAAGTCAAACCGCGAAGTTGCGCCTGACTTTTCCTGAAAAAAAAAACGAAAATTATAGTAAAAAAATAATCATGACCTATATAAAAGTTAATTACATCCGATTTTTCAAAGCGGCAAGCACATTTTTAAAAAAGTACATAAAACATTGAAGCTTTTGGTTTCAGAAATCAATTCTGATTGAATTTTGCTTGAAACATAATCCAATTCGAGAAACCTGAATCTATAAAACAAGGGTCTTCACTTCGTTCATTGACACTTGAAAAATTGATAATCTGTTGAAAAATTGATAAACTGATTTATCCGATAAACTTGAGCTTCACTGAGAAAGCTGAATATAGCCAATGAACAGAGGTATAAGTGTTCGTGAAATCGAGGAAACGAAAATGATTAATTTTAAAGATTTTTCAAAGAATGAGTTATCGGTTTTCAAGTACTTTCTTTTCGAAGAATCTTGTATGATCGCCGAAATCAAATCTAATGAACAGATCGACCAAAATATAGGTTCTATGTCAAATTGGTCTGAGAGAGAAAAGAGACTGTTTTCAAGGCAGTTTCCACTTTTGCCTACTAAAATCCCTTAAAAACAGTAGAAATTTGATTTTCTTATCCAAGACAATCTCATTGATTTTAATCAAAATACCTAAAACGATGAGGAAAAACACAGCCACAAAGCCCTTTGACGCTCCTGTCACATAACGAAGTAACAAAAATAAGTCTTCTCTTTGATCTCAAGACTTCTTCTCTTATGAAAATAGAATGGAAAAGAGCTTGAAATCATTTCTATTGCTAAAACTACAAATAGTAAGTAATAATAATAATCATATGAAGGATAGTTTTCCTTAGTTTACTTTTTATGTCATTATTTGTCAACATTTCATTTATTTCCCCTTGTGGTCAACTTCAACCTCTCAGCTCTCGTTTCCTTTCTCAGCGTTCATATTTTGGGGTCCCCTCGCGATCTCACTTTGTTGCCACTCATCATGAGGTGGAGGATGGACCCGGTTGGGGCGAGTGTTGCGGCTGGGAGGGGGACCTGGCCGGATTTCTGGATCGGAATGAGTTGTAGTATTCCAGCTGTGACTCCATCAACACTCTCAGCAGATTGTACTCTGGCTGCTGCTGCTGACTATCTGTTACTCCACCCACAACTCCTCCCAAGCCCACACTAGCATCGAAGTCACCTGAAATTGAGTCACCTTTATACATATAATAAAAATTGACGCGGTTGATACTTAGCCAAATTTAGTTTATGATCCCTTCTTTTTATGCCCAGATGCGTAGCTTGTCGAATGGGCTGCTTGCTATTAATGGTGAACCTTTATTCATCAAATCTATGTAGTTACTTCTTGGCAACTGTTTATTCTTCGTAACATATTTTCAGATCCTACAGAAGTATGCTAATTGAGTTTTAAGACAGATATTGAGTTTTAAGGCACATCCAAAAAACTCCGCTGCCACTTGATGGAACAAAAGTTCCTTGAAGTTTCCTTGCGCAACTATTTCGAAGGATTGTATTCCCAAACATGCTTTGTCAACACGAGCAGCACAATTATTTGGATCTCTTAAACGTTTACGTTTCTCCCCTACCCCCATCCCATTGCAAATAAGGGTGGTTCAAGAAATACAGAATCGGCATGTGCTTAAACATTGCTTTAGTTTTTTATAATGATGCCTACTCTTTACTAGGAACCAAAGAAGGGAACGGGAATAGTTAAAGAGATCTGATTTTTATCCAAAAAAGAGGCCTTATCTTACCTGTGTTCGGGTACATGACTTTAGGCGAGTTAGGAGGCCACAAGTATCCCATTGCACCGTAGTCCGGACTGGGACATTGGGACAACTTGGTCCCGACGCCATTGCTTCCAGCTCCATTCATATTGTTGTAATTGCTCTGAAGAGCTAAGGGAATAGGCAGCACTGGGGACTTATTGCCAGAAGAGTTAGGCGAGTGAGAGGCTTTGGGAGACGATGCCATTGATCTAGTAGAAAAAAAATCACATATTTTGTGCTGTTTAGTAAAACAGCCATTAGTGTTTGCCGTTTCTAAAAAAAAAAAATTAATTTCTGAGTCTTCTAAACATTTTTTTTCTTTTTTGGACATAACAGAACAAATTACATTAACTTTAAGCTCAATCAATACCAGTAAACTTTATTTATGACACTTTCTGATAAAACTAATCCACTCTGAGAAAACTCGATTAATAAGTAATTTTGGATTTCAAAAATTCGAACCCCTCTTTTAAAACTAGAAGTCAGAGTATATTTTTGTGCTTATCTCCTTCAGTTTTTTTACCATAGAGCGTAATTTGCCTGCTCAGAGGTCAATAAATGTGAAATCAAATCAGGAAGGTATCAAAAAAACACCGCAAAAATAGATCAGTTTTATACAGACGCGAAGCTGCACTTAGCATACACAAGCGAGAAAACAGTAAGAACTACTCCAAAAAGGCACAAAATGGAAAAAAGCAAAAAAAAGTATTGAAAAATAAAAACTGTCTATGGGCCCGATTAGAACCACGGACTAACCGATCGAGAGGCTTACGCCCCCGCAAACGCGCCATTTACATTAGTCGACAGCCAGACATTAGCGGCCCAGCTAACACTGGAGGTAAATGTTTCCACTTTCTTTCTTTAGAAAATATTTTACTGATGCGGAAAGAAACGCGTAATTTTCCAAAAGTCAAAAAACAACTTCACCCAAAAACATGGTGGTTTCTCTGCTAAAGGCAATTACCGCTATAAGGGGAGATTTCTACAACTCGATCTCCGAGAAAAAAAAACGAAAAAGTTTCCAAACAGTACGAACAAAAATTCTAAGAATTTTCTTAAATCCTACCACTTTCTCTACTAAAGCAGGGAATGCTCCTAATGCACGTAAGTTACCCAAAATCTATTTTTTCGATTGAACCTATAATCAGATTTTACAGGATAATATTTGAGAACAGTGAAAAAACCTGACTGAAACGGATTTCTGCTTGGTTTATACTCATTTCTTTATCTAAATTAAGCAGTAGCAGCTTCTGTACAAAAAAATCTCACAACCCATTCTTTCGATTGAATCCTTCATGCAGATTTGGCAGGTTAATGCTCTAGAAACTCTCAAAAAATGGTACAGAAAAGTTCAAAAAATGAACTTTGCTTATGGTTATCTTTGCTTTTTTACAGAAAATAGCTAAAACCGTTTAAGCAGGGAAGATCCCAACGTTATTCTCCTTCGGCGGGACTCTTAATCATATATGTGGGAGAAAATTTATCGAGAAAAGAGAAAATTTTAAAAACCCTCTACTACCTGTTATACTGATAGAAATCTCAATCTCGGATTTGACAGGGTAGTTCTTACAAAAAAAAACTGGTCAAATTAGGGCGTAACAGTTTTTGCAGGGGAGATCCCGATGACAAGTTCTTTCGATTGAGCCTTGAACTCACATCTGGCAGGTAAATTTATCCGAAAATGAAACTGAAACGAATCGAAAAAAGACTAAAACTTTCGAAGAATGTAGAACGTGGGGAATAACTTAAGGTAAAAAAGACTAGCTTGATATTCAGACGCACAGTGGCGTTATCGGTCTTCCATTGCTACATTTGGAAAAAAAATCAGTGAAGCTGTTCTCCATGAAAATTAAAATTTCAGCAAAAAATGCAAAATTTTCTTATGCGCCTCACAAAAAAACCAATTCCCGTACAATTTCATAACACCCGTTTTTCTCAAACATAAAACTTGCCTTAAACTAAGCAAAAATGAAAAATTCTATTAAAACGCTTTTGAATACATGCTATACAGTAATAGCGTAAGTGAACACTTTTTATAATATTTGCTACTTAAATTGGGCAAAAGAGGAAATCTTAGTATGACACTACGCTCAGATTGTGTACAGACTAACTAATGTAATCAAAAAACTGTAAATATTTTGTTAAGGCAACGAAAATTTAACAACCAGAAAAAGTGACAAAATTCAAACACTCCCTGCTTGACTAAAGGCGCGCCTAAATAAGTGAAAAATATGCTAGTTCATTGAACTGTAATTATAATTCAAAATTAGTTAGGTAATTATTTTGGAGAGCATCCATGTTGATATTCATTGTATTCTTGTTCACGTTGATTTATTTGAAACCAATGACGCAATCAACCATAAAAATTTCATTGCTGGTGAGCGTAATTTGATCTTCATTTATCAAATACATAAAACTTAAATAAAAAACAACGTCAAACCGCTGAAACATAATTTTGTGCATGAACAATTTTTTCAAACACTGACAAGAATAAAATTAGTCTGTTCATTTCGTTCATTGACTCTAGTTACTATATGAACTAGTCAACGTATAACCCATATAAATCATACAAAATATTAAGCACTTACATATTAGTTTCTGATCGTTTTATGTTCTTATAAATTCCGGTTGGTTTCACCCACTCATATTTCTGCTTTGCAATGGTATAATACCGACTGGTTTTTAGAAAATATTTAACATTCGAAATTCAAAGAAAAGGATATTCGCACTTGAAGCTCATCAATGTTCATGAAAATTTATGATTGACTTTTTTGGATAAAATTAACTTAATTTGAGAAAACAGGGAAATCTGAAATTAAAATCCAGGTTCGAAACTCCAAGATGTTCATATTTATCGTGACCTCTACACTTCCACTGTTCGATACTAGAGTTTGCCTTCCTTTAAACAAAGGAAATGAACTGAACTTGAAAAGAAATCAAAAATCAAACCGCGAAAAATCAAAATTGAGCGTGAACAAATTTTAAGACATCTCGTAATCTTTTGGTTCTTTTACACTTTATACTTCTATAAGGTTTCTGCCACAGAGATGACGCTTTTTTAAACCTGAAACTTGTCGAGAGAGATACAAAATGATCCTATCAGTCGAGCCGAGTCAGTGTTTTAAATTTATTTCTCGATCCGAAAACACTTCTTACTTCTACTGAATTGAACTTTGAATCAACTACTCAATAAGAGTTGAAAAAAACTCATACCTTTTTTGCATGTTATTTTTACCTAGTGTCAATCAAAAATCATTCGTTTTAGTTGGAACTATTTAGAACTAACTGTAAGAAAAACTTCACGAACGCCATTTTTTCATCCTTCTTCCTTCATTAAAAAATAGACCAAATTTATCTCTTAAATCAAGTTTTGATAGGTATACATCTACCCCTTTCAAACAAAACAGACTAAAACAGTTTAAGCCTATACTTGTGATAATGCGCACTCGTCTCAAATAGAACTTAAATACGTATTGATAATTCTTTGCCACCAATCAACTGCTGTTTTATGTAATAACTGTACTATCCGATTTTTCATCCGAATGCTTCAGTACCTGAGTTGGTAATTGGAAGGTTGCAGTGGAGAGGACCTTTGTGAAAGTGCCCCTTGTTGATCTTTGTTCTGGTGGTTTCCTATGTTGTTAATTGCACAGCTCTTTGTGAAGCAACACGAGGCGCTAAGATGGGGGGACTCGGCCGATACTGCTGGGTCCATAGAGGGGTAGTTGAGCAATCCTGCCCCTACTTTGTGCTCTCTCTGATTTGAGAGGGGTGGGCTGGCGGTCGAGTAAGAGCAACAGGGCTTGCCACATGTGGAGGAGGTGGCGGTCATGTTGCCATACGTACTCGATGTATACCCTGGAGACTAAATTAAACATACCAAATAAAAAAAAGAACTAGACAAACCATAAAAGGAATCAGGTCTTCAAAATAACTAGGTCTTCAAAGGTCAAACAAATAGCGCGAAATGCAGACATGTTCGTAGTTGGCTCTCATCTTTTCTTACATGTTTTAAATCAAATAAATTGTTTGACCGTCAGTCTTGAGCCTCAAACTATCGTAATTTAGAACAAAATTAGACAACGCTCTGTTTTTTTTACATCAGCTAGCTCATGCATCACCTTTGTTTTTTTTAAAACAAACGGGCCATGTCATTCGATCAAAAGTTCCAAACTAGGACATTCACTATTATTCAGTTTTCTCTGCTTTGAAATCATCGCCAATATCTGAAATTATAAACCAGCACGGTTGAAATAATATGCGATTTGGGTCTCATGCACTTACACTCCTGGGGGAGGTGGTGTTGTTGTTTGTGATTGAGGTGAAACTGCCCCCCTGCTGAGTTTGCTGCTTCTTCTCCTGGTCCCGGAGGAACTGCAGTCGGGACTCTCTGAGGACTGCCTCACTGATGGCCTCACTTGTCGCCTCCCAATCCGTCAGTCTCAATTTGTCCTCGTACATAGCCTGCTCTATGTACAGTGACTCACTCGCCCGAATCGCATCCTTCATCTGTGTCTTCTCTGCCACCTTAAAAAACACAAGCACATAAACTAAATAAACAACCAAATAAGTTATCTTTTTTGTCAATCAGTGAAGAATTTCTGTGCGGCAACATGAAACGCGCAAAAAAATAAAATCAATAAACGAGTTGAAAGAGAAGTTAGCGGCCTGCCAAAAAAAATTGAAATCTTTTCTTGTTTCAGGAGTATGTGCTCCCAAAAATCGAAAAACCCTTTCAGAATGAGACGAACTAAAACAAATGCAACTAAAGTTAATAATATCATCTAATATTCGAAAGCGAAAAGCTTTGTATCGTTCAAATTCCTGAAAGCTGCAAGTCATTTTTCAAAACTAGCAGAGAACTTAAAACGAAAAATAATTTTTTTCAGGACGGCAAAACGAAAGTTTACGACCGTAAAGTTATAATATCCCCATGAAAATAATTGAGTCGTGTATCATTTGCTTTTGCAGGGCAAAAAACACTCATAACATGAAAAAGAGGCAACATGGCATGCAAAGTTATCATCGAATGATTAACTGGGTAACATAACATGAAAAAATTGTTTTGTTCGAAAGATTAATCCAAATATCAATTCAAGCTTCGATTGAACTCAAAGTTCAATAAGTCAACCGTAGTAAAAGCGAAGCAACTTTGGTACAGTCACTTGATAAACTTCGTGAACAAAAGTTCTGTTTTGAATACAATGATCTATACTAAACATAACACGAGACGAAGCTGCATTTTGCATAAAACCAAAAATATCACAGTTAACGCTAGGGGCAATCGAATACTCCTATTCTTTCACAACTCACTTTGGATTTAGATCCCCAAAATGATTTTCAAATGGCTCATTACAAAACTAAATTTGTCTGAATAAAAAAAAACAAAACCATCTCAAACAATTCGTCACTTTCTTCAAAAGTCGGAACAATTATAATAGCCAGTACTAATACCCTCAGTGGCAATTGAGCTTCAGCTCTGCTTTATACACATATACTGCAAGAAAACTGAGAGTTGAAGTTGAACACACATGTGCGACGTCCGGTAAAAAAAAGTTAGCTCGTTGTATAACACAAGTATAAAAAGTGAAGTAAATAATCTTTTCACCCCAGGCGTGAACGAAGGCAGTCCCAACCCGACTCCAACTGATGCGGCGTAGGGGTCGTAGACTGAGTTGTAATGTATGTTATTATGATAGCTCAGTCTAATTGGGAGATCATCAGTCCTGTAGGAGGATTGGAAGACGTTCGAGGGCTCCGAGTCATAGATGTAGATCTCAATTGGTCGATTGTACATCTCTGATATTGCTTGTAGCTCCACGTGATTCCCGTGTTCGCTGTCCACTCGCTTTCTCTCTATATATCTGTTGAAATCCTCAGTCACAAATTGTTGGAAGAAGTCCCGGTTTTTCATCTAAATTACATCCAAAATGTCAGCTTTCTCGAAACTTTACAGCTGAAATTTTGAATAGCGTCCAATCAAATTCAATTAATCTAAAAGCGATAAATAATCTCAGGCTGGGGAAAATATTGTCGCAAAGAGAATAAAATCCAGCAAAATACGACAAATTACACAAAAAAATCTATTTGTTATACTCAGGTTTGGTTATAAAAGTATTTTTACTGCACTTAAAACGTTCTAAAACAGTTACAATATAAGAAAATTGTTCTCGGCTAATAAGTAAGATATAACCATCTAGGATTTCGCGGATTTTCAAAAACCTAATCCATGGCTGTCTTCCCTGCGGATTGGGTCACTTTCTGACCACCGAACATTGGATACGAAGCATTAGGTGCAAACCTTACATCTGGCGGCCAAAAAAAACAATTTCTTTAGTGGCTCACTTGTATCGACCTGATGTTAAAAACCGCAGAGCAAAATGGCCTTGTTTTAAAACTGTTTTGAACGGTTCTAAAACACTGTTTCAAGGCAGCTTCTATCTTACCATGTAATCGCAGTTTCAAGGCAGCTTCTATCTTACCATGTAATCGCAGACCAAGTTCCGGATTATTGAATGCATATCCTGGTCGCCATAAATTTGATCGGCTAAAACAGAAATCATTAAATTGATTGCAGTGAGTTTTAGTTGCAGGACTGAATTACACGATAGAGAAACCTTCAACTCACATATAGCCCTGAAAAGACAAGCACCGTCCTCTTTCATTTTCTTGATGAGGAATCCCTTCTTCGCCTTGAGCTGTCTTTCGAAACGCAGTTCTCGCTAAATAAAACAACCATCAAAACAACTATTCAAAATTTAGAGACAGTATGTCCAGAGCTGCAGTTAAATACAGACCCTCTAGTGGATATATCTAATTTTTAGTCCGATCACTAAAAGTGGGGAAGATCTTTATCTTCAAGTGCTTTTTCAAGTTTGCATTCTTTTCAGGTACCACGAAAATTCATGTCGCGATTCGAACAGCTTAAAAAATCGGTCGAGAAAAGCTGTTTTGCATTTTGTGGTTTCTAGTCTAATTTAGAGCGAAAAAAAGCGAGCGAGTAGGCTTATCATAAGGCGACAACCTTTTAGTGAGGCCGTGAAAACTAAGTTTTACTGAAGTGAAACTAGTTTGAGAAGTTACTTATAGCGCCTTATTGGGAATTTTTTTTTAAAAAATCATCTGACCTTTGATAATGTCAAGAATAACTACGTATAACGCAAATGGTATGCATTTTTTTGCTTAGTGGCTATAATTTCTTGCCACAAATGTTATGCGAGACCCCTCCGTTTAAGATAAACCTTCTTACCTCTTGGCTAGAAATTTCATTTTGAGTGTCGTATTCGTCCTCGGAGTTTTGATGGGGTGGTGAGGGCAGGCCAGTTTTCAAAGGAGCTGTGGAGCTTCCACAAGGTTGCTGATCCATATTCTCATTCGAGTCTTCAATATTTGTATGTTCGATTCTTGTATTTCTCGATACTGTTTTTCCAGATGCAATTGAAGCTGAAATATTTGCTTCACGTTTCTTTTTTCTTTTCGACACTCCGCCACCACTATTTGTCGAGTAAGCCGTTAGTCCAAGGTGAATTTCATCAGAAGCCGACTGTGCTGCCAATGCCTGTCGATTGTTGATCAGATTTTGAGATATATCCCTATTATCGTACCAACCTCCTCGTGCCTCAGAAATCCCAGAAGACACGAAATGTCCATTCGCGTAGCTGGAATAGTTCAAATTTGAAGAAACAGTACTATATGGGTATCTTGCCACGTCATTTGGCGCTCCAACTGCGGCTCCATGACGCTGACCATGATTGTATCTCTGCTGTCTGTGATAATTAGCTTCTGCGTCTCCTTTCTCTTTGCTATTGATTTTTTTCTTTGGTAGAATCGTCATATCACCTGAAATGATTTTTCTATCAGTGCATCTTTTACTTTACTTGAATGACAGTACTGCTTACCTGATCTTCTAGTGCCTATTCATCAAAAAAAACGAAATAGCAATTGACTTTTAGTCTAATTGGCTAAAAATAATATTTTTTTTAAAAACTAAATTACAAAAGGGGCCCTTCCGTTTAGTTACGGTAAGTGCACCAGCTGGATAGGGCCTTACCAGCGATATTAAATGCATATATATCAGCAATGATGTCATAAATCAGCATTAAATGCATCGTCGTAATGTTAATTTATGTGCCAGTCGGTCATATCTGGAAGTTTGAACTTGAAGGACACGAAAATACGTGATTTTGGAGTGAAGTTTTATTTTTCAAAATTTCGAATGGAGCCTGTCATGTTCAGTTTTCTCGCAACAACTGAAAACACAAAGTGAAAAAACAGAACGACCGAATTTACAATTGCGGGAAAATACTTAAGAAAACAGCAGGAAATTGCTATTCGCAATTTCCAGATACAAAATAAGACACGAGTAGAGCCGTCTTATCCTAAAATAGGAGGAGAGATAGTCACGAGATAAGAGTGCAATTATTCAAACTGAACCAGAGTGAACCTTCAACGGAAAGGTGGACAGCTTGAGTGTCCCAATGGTTCAGACTAAAACTTCAATTCTAGAGTCTAAACTTATTTCTGTTATTAAAACTGATCAGTATTGAACTTATCAAGTTATCTTATTTAATTCTCGAGTTGCTCATTAATTTAATTACTCCTTATACTCGAGTGCGTCAACATGTGAGTTCCTAATTTAATTTTCTCGAGTGTGTTTTATGATTGTTATGTTGAGATAAGGCGAGTTTTAAGTTGATCCATCTGAAATGGATCAAAGTTCCACTGTCCAATAAAAAGTAACTTAACGGATTGTTCCGACCCTGTTTTTAACGGCGTTCGTGTATTTTGGGTATCTCGAGACCTAAGTATGGGGACGTTCTTATTTTCTAGAGTGGGGGGATCTTTTGGTAGTAGCCTTTAAGCTGTAACGGGTTCTAGTCTCATGTCGCAAGCGAACCGAATTGGCTCCGACCGTTCTTGAGGTAGAAAAACACAAGAGATAGTGTCCCTGACTCTTGAGCCAATGGTTATAGGGCCTATTTTTCTTAAGCCTCATATGTGACCGAAGTAGGCGACTGTTACATTATCTTAGCCGTCCTTCCTCTACAGTAGCGCTTATGGAGTTGTCGATAAATTGAATTTTGCGTAGCGATCTGCACCCCCTTATACGAAGTATAGAGCTCCTCAGGAGCGCGAAGCTGATTTTAGTTCTTATGTACTTTATAGATTCTGGATAGCTTTCTTGTCTTTTTTCACTTAATTTTTCGGCCAATCGCCGCATCGTCCGCGTGGCTGTTGTAGCAGCGCCACCGGTGCATCCAAAAGTTAGCGGGCAGAAGCTACTCTGCTCTACGTATAAATTCTTTGATGATATTTGGAGTTCTTCAGCGTTTCGTGGTATTTGTATGCATCCTTATGCAGTTTTCGCGATGTTTTGGCATGGGGGTTGAAAATTTTTACATCAAAGAAAGCGCGGCTGAATCGTGAACCCCAGAGTCCGTTTGCCTTAATGTCAAGTCGTGCCTCATCTTCAGTTGTAGTTGAATTGTTGACAAAGCTTTCGCCTTGCAACGGCTGAAGTTTCGGCTCAATCTCGACGTCATGGCAAACCTCGTTCATGAGGTTGGCGAATGTGTCTCTATTTTCATTGTGTCTTATGTGTGTGTAACAACCCTTTGCACAGTGAAGCGCATGTGTCAAGTTAAAATCAGCACCACATGCACATTTTAGTGGGGTTTTAGTTGGTTCCCATCCGTATCTTAAGTAAATACCATCTCTGAACTCTGATTTATTCAGGTTGAAGTTGTATCTGCTCAGTGGTAGAGCATTGAGCCATTTAGAGGCTCCCTTTTCAGAGGCCAGGTCGATTTTGTATTTATCTGTTCCATTTAAGGAGTTAATGAGGTTTGTTTTATTTTTTTTCGATTTGTTCTATCAGTTCTCAATTTTTTGATTTTCGTTCATATTTTTTCTTGCTGTGTTACTGCTGTAATAGGATTTTGAGATTCCAGTACTAGTGATGTTTCCTCAGACCATTGTAGGTAGCTTTCATGATCGGATGGCAGCTTGATGTTAAGTCCGGCCATTTTAAGGGGTAAGGAAGATATCTCACGGAACTGGGGGTTTAAAGTGTCTTTACCGACTAGGTTAGGTAATAATTGTTCTTTGATAATACTTTCACATATTTCTAAGTTTTCCATAGTGTTAGGCGTTGTCCTGGCAAGAAACGAAAGCTTTTCTTGAACTCCTTTAGTATAGCAGGCATAAACGTTTTGAGGGGAGGTTTTAGCGATTTTCGTTAGTTTTTTCAAAATGTTGATTTGCTCATTCTGTTGAAACTCCAGGAACTTTTTACATTCAGATTCTGTTCCTATAACTGAACCAAGGACTCGGGCTCCTGCCTTTATAGTGATTCCTGTATTTGCGAAGAATTTCTGAGCTTCACCGACTTTTTCATCCTTGACAATGAGTTGGCATTTGGATGCTTTCACGTGGTAGCCGAAAAATTTACCCAGTGATACAATTTTATCGAGGACGGTTCGTAGATTGCTTAATTTACCGACAAGAAGTGCGATATTATATAGAAGGATAATGAACGTACAAAAGCCTCCTAATAAACGAGCCGCTGAAGAGGCGCCCTCTGAGGGATTTTAGAGACAGGTCTGTCAAGTGGCTCTCTGTGGGGAGGTGGGGAACTGGAACTGGCTCGAAGAGTCTGGTGGTGCACCTCTGGACCTACTGAGCTCGGGTGAGATTATTCCTTGTTTTTGATTTATATAATTCGGTTTTAAAATTTAATTTAATTGTCCTGTATTTTTTTTATTTGCTTTATAAAATTCTCACTAACCGCTTATCATGGGTTAGTTCAGTCCCATAAAGTCCAGTCAAAATCCTTTTTTTACCTTTATGCTGCGTCAAGATGAGGAACAACAACAAAGAGTGTACAAGCAAAGATTGCTTAAAACCTTCAGGACTGATAAATTGGATTAGATGTGATTGTTGTTCTAGTTGGTATCATATCAGTTTTGTGAATCTTTCTCTTAGCGACTCTAAGAAAACCCAATGGTTTCAGTGTCCTTTATGCGTTGATGTAAAATCTGTTAATAAAGCAACAAAAGGTAATGATTTAGTGCTAGAAAATTATGTTAGTACAGCCATCTCAAATGTCCAAGTACTCAAGAGAGTACCAAAAGACTCGCGTGTTCCCATGGCGGAAAGTCTGTCGGACAAAATAAATGACATCGTCTACAATGTAGAAGATGTTACAAAATGGCCTATTTTTTCAACGTCGTTCTTGTTTTTTTTGGAGCAACCGAAAAGAAGTGGACGCAAACAGACCACAAGCATGAGCTCTTTGATAAATAAAAAAAATCGAGCGAATGGCCTCGAGCAGAGAATAAAGCTAATAAGTAGTAAGCTTGATGATGGAAATGTAATTGGAGGAATAAGGCTTGCTGCTTCGGATGAAAAAATTGCTCTTTTTTCAACTGATATTTATCAAAAAATATTGTCTAAGCACCCTCAGCGAGCCAAATTTGCAGCTCCAAATCCAGAAAAGTTGGATAGTTTTTTTGTAACCAATATCGACCTATACAAAAGGATAATGTGTTTTTTGAACGGATCAGCAGCAGGTCCTGATAAAATTGTTCCTCAAATTTTTAAAGATCTTGTTAGTAAGTCGAATGGCAGTGCAGGACTTTATTTTCTGAAATCGCTTACTAAGCTGATAAACCTCATTGGAGATGGCAAAATACCCGAACCCCTAGTCTTGGCGGAAAGGTTATCGCCCTCATAAAGATAGACGGAGGGTTGAGATCGATTGCCATAGGCAACACGCTGAGACGTATCGCGTCTAAATGCCCTGGAAGCAAGGCCCTCTCCGAGCGACAAATCTTTTTCGGAAACGTACAGATAGGATGCGGTACCAAACGAGGAACAGAAATAGCTGCCCACTCGTTATGAAACCTAATTGAACGAGACGACAATCCAAAATGCACTGTTTTTTTTTAAACTAGATTCTAAGAATGCCTTTAACTCTCTAAATAGAGAAACATTGCTGAATCATGTTTATTCAAATCGCCCGAATTGTATAATTACACCCATTGCGGGTATGGTAAACCTAGTTACCTTTTTTACGGAAACTCTGTCATAATGTCAGAAGACGGAACTCAGCAAGTTGATCCTGAAGCCCCACCTCTTTTTGCGGAAACAACTCATACATTAGTCAAACAGTTGGAGTTGAAAACTAACATCTGGTATTTAGATGATGGAAATTTAGCCGAAGACTATGAGGTAGTACTCCGGGACCTTAAAAACACTCTGAAATCGGAACAAATTTACGGCCTGAGCTTGAACACTGAGAAGTGCGAACTTTGTTTTTTGGGACCGACTACTAGTATACAGTATAATTCAATTTTAACACAATTCCGAAAAATATGCCCCAATATAAAAATAAAAACAAAAGAAGAACTCCTCATTTTAGGAATTCCAATTGGCGAACTTTGCCGAAAAGAATTGCACGACGAAAAAATTTAGGAGCTTGAAAAAATCTCGGGTGTCATTGACAAACTAGACGCCCATTATGGTTTTTTACCTCCTGAAAAATTGCTTCAGCATGCCAAAACTCCTATATTTTTTGCGTACGAGCCCTTGTTTTTTGCAAAATGATTTTTTGGAACGCTACGACAAATTACTAAGAAATTCGTTATGCAAGGTCACTAACGTGAAAATGGATAATAAACAGTTTTTACAAGCAGTTCTCCCGGCAGCCAAAGTTGGCTTGGGCGTTTCTTCTGCTCGCCTACTCGCTTTAACCGCTTTCTTAGCCTCAGCTGTAGGAGCAAATGATGCCTTGAGCGAAATCTTTGGTTTGGAGCATGTGGATGGAACCTATGAT